ACATGGTCTCTCTGGGGTATATTCCCAGTAATGGGATTGCTGGGTCAAATGGTATCTCTATTTGCAATTTTTTGAGAAAGCGCCACACCGCCTTCCACAATGGTTGCACCATCTTACATTCCCACCAACAGTGAATAAGTTCTAGTTTCTCCACATCTTCGCCAGCATTTGTTGCTTGCTGTTCTGTTATATTTTGCTATTCTTACTGGGGTGAGATGATATCTCATAGTTGTTTTGCAGATGAGAGGGGTTTTTTTTGGTTTTTTTTTTTCAGATGAGAGTTTTTAACAGAAATATTTACTTTATCTCTGACCCTGGCGGAGCCCTCTGAGTTTCACAGGCAGGACTTTGGATATCTGGAAAAGGATGACTATAAGGGATCAGAACTTTTAATCTGGAAACCTAGGAGTGCCGGTGAACCCTGGCCTGCCTCAGTTTCCCAACCCATGACCCAGCCGCCAAGAAGGATCACGATCACGGGAGCAGATATTTCAGAGCTAGGCATGCACAACTGTGCTGCCGTGGGGATGTGAGGGATGACCAAAACGACATGGGGTTGGCATGTGCAAAGGCCTGGATGTAGCACTATTTGGTTTGGGGGTGGGTACATGGTGGAGGATGCCCCCGTTCCTGCCCCGTCACTCTGCCCACCACAGCCTGTTGGGTGCAAGTGAGCAGAAACAGACAATTTTGCAGAGAAGTGTCTGTGTGTCTCCAGGGTAACAAGGTCCTAGGTTCACTGTCAATTATCTCATCTTACTTGAATCCACCATCAGCACTTTTGGTACCACCAGTCAGAAGATCAGGAGATATATTGCAGTGGGAAAGTTCACTGTCAGGGACTGCTTTATAATACAGGAAAGCAATGATGAATGATGTCAGTTTGAAGACTAAGGTGCACCTGATTCAGGCCGTGGTCTTTTCATTCACTTGCTGCACATCTGAAGGCTGAATAATAAGGATGACAGAAGAATAGATGCCTTGAGTTGTAGTGTGGAAGACTAATACTAAACGGATTCTAAACTACCAAAAACATAAACAAGTGTCTTGGAAAAGGTCCACCAAGAATAGACTGACACAATGACTGCAGCAACGGACTCAAGTATGTCAGAAATTATGACGGTGGCACAGGATAGGACATAGGGTTATTCATAGAGTCACTAGAGGTCATATTCTATTTGACAGCACCTAACAACAGGCTCAAAAGGCCCAATACCAACAGTCTTATCTACTCCAATCTAGTAGCATCGCCACTGTGGTTCTGCTCTGAGGAGGACACAGGGTCTGGAAGGGCAGGGGTGTGGCCGTCTGTAGTCTTGTCCCAGTGGAAAATAAAGCTTTTTAAACCAGGGGCAGAATAGGCACATCTTGTAAATGGCTGCTTCTGGAGACAAGGGAGCCTGTCTGGAGGCTGCTTCAGGTGTCTGTCTCCAGGTACTGCAAAAGGTGAAGGAACTTGGGCGCCAAGCAAATGATTGCATTTGCCCTGAGGTTGCACTGCAATCCCAGTGACACAGAGTTTGAATCTACCAGCTGTTGGCAGGAGGATAGAAGGATGGGCAATCTACTCCTGTTTGATTCACAGCCTCTGAAAACCTGCTGGAGCATTAGGTATGGGTCGGTTCCAACTTGAAAGCAAACAAATTGAGGCACTTTAGAAGAAAGGCCTAGTGTTTGACTTACGAAAAACTGGCTCTTGAACACCCTGGGGAGAGGTTCTGCTCTGACACCCATGGGATTACAAGTGGGAACCGACTTGCCAGCAACCAGGACAGGTGCCCAGGAGCTCTGGTGGCACAGATTCAAATCCACCAATGGCTCCAGAGACAAAAGAGGACAGTCTCTCTCCATTAAGTTTTGCAGTCTCAGAAACCTGACAGAGGAGGGTTGCTCTGAGTTGGAACCAACTTGTGAGTGTACAGGTGTTAGGTGAAGGAGGACAGAGATGAGGCAGGGGGAGCCCTGAGCACTGTCCAGTGACCCCGGCTCACAGTGACCCAGAAGGGGCTGCCACACCAAGGTCAGCTCTTCCCTGGCCTGGCCAGGCAACAGAGACACCAGATGTGTAGGTAGAAAAGAAGCACGTTTAATGAATCTTTGGTAGAAATAAAAAAGAGGCTTTGTACACACATTAACAGGCCATGGTAGGGGGATAAGGCCATGGGGCATTCATCCAGGACAGGGATGAGGTATGTTGGGGCCTCCGAGGCCTGGGATATCGAGCAGGAAGTACCTCTCCTTCCCCAGTTGATGCTGGGCCTTCTGGCCTGGATCCCAGGAGGCAGAACTTCAAGGTCACTGACTGGACAGTGACCAGATCCAGATGAGTCCACTCCTCAGGAGAGGGCCCTGCCCATGGCCCAGTTCCCCTGGCACACTGCCTCAGCAGCAGCTTCCACAAGAACCTGCTGATCCCCAGCCTGACAGAAGTCACATCCTGAGCGGCAGCTGTCTCTGGCGGTGCTCTGCACCGTTACCTTGGGTAACGTCAGGACCACCGCCACCCCTGGCCCTAGACCACAGCTGGCAGGTTTCCACAGATCACCTGACCATATGGTGGCCACATCTCCACCATCCCTGAGAAGACACAGCCCGTCCCCTGGCCAGTGCCCAGAACTGGCATTGGTTCTTTAGCTGGTGTCCAGGCTGGATGGGAGTCAGTGGAAAGTGTTGGCAGGCTCGGTGCAGCCAAAGAAATCGGGGCCCACGAGGCGAGGGAATCCATCCAAGGCCTTTACTTTCACCGGGTCAAACTTCCAGTAGAGAGAGCCTCGCAGGAAGTAGGCATAGCCTGCAGAGAGAATACATCCTCTTACCATCCTGACAGACTCCCTGAGCCTCAGTCCCCCAACCCCATCTCCTCAGGAGAGCAGGTCCTACTCCTCTCCAGCGCTGACAGCCCAAGTTCTGCTGACTGGGCCACCTCTTGCTCAGTGTGCACTGGTACAATTATGACTGAGGGCCCTGGGCAAATCCTGACACAACTCTGACCCTCAGTCTCCTCATCTGCAAGCTATGGGAGCGGGTGGATGGGGCAGTGAGGAGGGTGTTAGAACAAGGCTTTGAGGCAAAGGCCTCCCGAGGCCAGCTGAGGACACCTCCTGCTCTCAGCTGCTGCCCACTTCCTGCCAGCTGTCACCCCACGCACCATCAGCATCCTGAAAGGCCGCCTCAATCTCTGAGGGCACCCCTCGCCAGTCGGTGGTCCGGCGGGGGACAGGACTGTCCACGCGGTTGGAGCTGGGGTGGAAGCGCCAGTAATCCTCGCCACGGAAGAAGTAGATCTTATTCTTCTCGGGGCCCCAAGCCAAGGCGGCATCAACTGGGGACCCCATGAGGCCCAGCTCAGAGAGGGGCACAGGTCCTCGGACCGGCTTCTCCCCATCATACTTCCAGTACTGGGCACCTGAGGGAGTGATTGTTGAGTACCTTCGAGACAGAGCCAACTCATCGCTGACCCTCCAGAGGGTTTTCAGAGCCAGTAAATTGCATGGGAAATTACCCATCCCTCTCCTCTAGTGGATCTGAACCATGTGCCATTGGGATTGCAGCACAGCTTCTTACCACTAGGGCACCGGAGCTCCCTGAAGGGAAGGAAGCTGCAAAGGAGGAGTGGGGGCCCCTGACTGACCCCACCTGCAGACCAACCATCTCAATTTCCTCCTCCTCTAACTTGCAAACCAGTCATGCCCATGGTGGCATCGTGCACCTGAGCACATCCCCTGGCTCATTGCTCCAGTGACTGGCACAGCTCCCCAAAGGCTCCTGGTTACTCCCTGAGCCCTGCTTCATCTCAGCAGCACCTGGCTTCTCAGAGCCCCTACCCCCACAACCCCTGCCTGCGGCCCTGTCCGCTGGAGAAGCTCCGGCTCTCCTCTCTCCAGTCAGAAACACAAGATCCAGGTGAACCAGGCCCAGGCCAGACAGACTCTCATGCCACCCCGGGCTTGTCCTCAGCAGAGCGTGCTGACCTGCCTAATCCCTAGAGGCCTCATGCACACAAAATTGGCTGCCACAGAGACCCCCTGTGTATCAGACCAACCACCGACTGATTATGCAGATGGTATCACCAGGCCTTTCTTCCAAGTCATCCTTGGTTCAAACCACCAACCTTTCAGTTGGCAGCACTTAACCCTGTGAGCCACTCAGGAGCTAGGCTGGACAGGGAGAAGCGTGAGGCAGGAATAGCTTTGGCTCATCCCATTTTGACAGCTGTATCCTCCTGGACCCCCTGGCTGAGCCTTGCTTTGGCCTGTCTATCCCTGTCCATCCCCTGTGGTGTGACATTTCTGACCCTGGAAGTCTCCCAACAGGGAGTGCTGGTGGCCTAATCCAAAGGGGGTTGTATTGCTAATGCAAAGGTGGTTCGAATCCACCATCAGATCCACAGGCAGGCAGTCCTATAAACTCAAGGGAGGGTCAGAGGTTTGATTCTGGCTGCACAGCAATGAACAGGTAAGAATGGAGGCCTCCCGAGGCCAGCACCCCCTCCACTCACCTCGGAAGAACCAGATGTGGCCCTGCGCATCCTCGAAGGCAGCATCCACAGAGCTCGGCAACCCTTCCCAGTGGCGAGAGGCCAGTGCTGGGTAGCCAGGCTGCAGCCGGCCTTCACGAAGCCGCCACACGAAGCTGCCCTTGAAGAAGAAGAGCTCACCACGGATGGTGGAGACGGCATCGAAGGATGTCTCACAGGCATCCGGCGGGACTTCCGGCTGGAAGGAAAAGGGCCATGCTGGGGCCACAGGGGCCAGCAGGTAGTGGCCACACCTACTGTCCCCTGCCGTCCCTGGCCTCACCTCCAGTTGGGCAATCTCATTGGTGTCCATGCCTGCCCGGGGGCCCAGGGTGCTGGGTGCTGACCGGGGTCGGCCATACAGATGCTGGATGCCCCTTCGGTCATCTGGGCTGAGGCTCAGCGGGTAGCGGAAGGTGTAGAAAGGGGACATGAGAGCTTTCGCTGCCGTAGTATGCTGTAGCCCCAGCACGTGGCCAAATTCATGGGCTGCCACCTGCAGGAGGTCGGTGCCTGGAGAAGGGGGAATAGCTCAGCACCTTGGCCTCTAGCCTTGTGACATCTAGGCCCAGACCCTACCCAGGAAGCCACCCACTAACTGGAGGTTGGGTCCTCAGCCCATACCCTGGTCATCCCCCACTGTCCATGTCTCATCATAGTCGAAGTGTACATCCCCTTCTCTGTGGGTCTTGGGGAAGAAGGCATGGGCCAGGATGCCCCCTGGCCCGTCAAAGGGCAGATTGTCTCCATGCCAGTACCTGCAAGGGGATGGGAAGAATGCCGGAGGCAGCCTGTGAGTATGGGTTGCCAAGTGGGGCTCGCTCCCATAGGTCCCTGAGGCCACCAAGTCACCTGGTGAAGTCGATCATGATGTCGGCACGACCCTCATGCACCTCAGTGAAGGTAAGTGGCGTCACCTCGCTCCATACCTGCAGGGCCTCCGCCACAGTCTGCCGCACCCGCTCCGGAACCAGCTGCCACGGGAACCGGAGAATCCTGTAGGAGGCGGAGGCCTGGACCACTTGGCCAAGAATGGCCTCTGACACACACACACATGCTGGGGCCACACGTGCGTATCTGTGTGTGGGTTTGTGGACAGAAGTGTCCCAGACACCAGGTCTTCCAAATCCTAGGTGCCAGGCCCAATTGCAGGGAGACAGTGGGCCAACACCACCTCTGTGCACGCAGCTCCTCATCATGTATATCTGTGGTTTCTCCCCTGTTTTCCATTGAGAGAACATGGAATTTATACACAAACACCTACCCACCCCTAACCGGGGCCTCCTTGCAGGGTATCAGCCAATCAAGGTGGCCAGGCACTGCGACATGTCCAGGAGCCCTGGTGGCATGTCCTATGTTGCCAAATACAAGGTCAGTGGTTTGAATCCACCAGCCATACCGCAGGATAAATGTGAGGCAGCCTCCTCCTATGGTCCTGGAAACCTGAGCGTCACCATGGGTTGGAACTGATGCTACAGCAGCAAACACTTTTTGTTTTGGGTGCTTTGCCTTATCCAAAGACACCCCAGGGCAGGCTACTCAGCAGGCCGCCAGGAGGGGTGATGAGTAGGTGATGAGATGCAGGCCTGACAGGTTAAAGAAGGGACAGGCCCCAGGCTCAGGTTGGCAGAAGTGGGAACATGGGCAGTGAGGGATGTTAGCATGTGTGAGAATGTCAGGGTATGGGCAGTGCACTGTGAGGGGAACATAAGCCCAGGCTTGCCTGGGCGAGATGACCAGCTCCCCAGGGTAGAGGACCACCTACCTATAGGTGAGGTCTGTTTTCTCCCAGCGCCCACCTGACAGCACAAACCGCTTTTGCCGGTTGCGGGCACTAATGTCCTGGGGCAGGTCAGGCACCCCACAGCGGGGCAACTGGGGGCCACGGGGTGTCTGGAGAGGCTCCTGAATGCCACGGGCAGGTGCCAGATTGCCAGGCAGAGCTGCATGTCGGGGCTGGGGCCCCCTCCTCACTGGGTGGTGGTAGGAGGCATCCTGGACAGAGAGAGACAAGAGGGCCTAGTCAGGCTTGAGGTTGACCCATTCCACTCTGACTGCCATGCTGAACCCACCCATTGCATGGAGGGACAACCTGGGAATAAGGAACAGAGGTTGCATGTGCTCACAGTCACACAGCAGGCTGGAGGTGGCACTGGCTACCCTAGAACTTGTTGCTAAGGCACCTGGCTGCTTCTAGAGGGCCCAGGCTGCCTCCTCCCGCCACTTGTGGGGCGAGCTGGGACTTGAGGGAGAGGAGATGGTGGGAGCTGCCCTGATTATGGTTTGGGGGAGAGGAGACAGTGGGGGCTATCCCTGATGAGGTCTATGGGAAAGGAGATTGTGGGGGCCTGCCCTTGATTAAGTTTGGGGTAGAGCGGATGGGGGGCTATCCCTGATGAGGTTTGGAGGAAGAGGAAATAGTGGGACTGTTTCTGATGATATTTTGGGGTGAGAAGATGGTAAGGGCTGTCTCTGATGATGTTTTGGGGAGAGGAGAATTTGGAGGTTGTTCCTGATGATGTTTTGGAGAGAGGACACAGTGGGGGGCTGCCCTGATGAAGTTTAGGGGATAGGAGACAGTGGGCCTGCCCTTGAACACACACCCAGGATTGGGCCCTGAAAAGTTTCCGAGGAGCTGCATTTAGACAGGGAAGCCAGTTCCCTTATCTCTCAGCCCCTCCCTTCTCTCACGCCATGAGACTCAGGGTACGGGGTCCTCAGCATGCTTTCCAAGTGTGGCCAGTACTCTGTTGACCTCCTGTGGAGGGCCGGGTCCCTACAGTGCAGCCTCAGTCCCTCTTCTTTAATTATTTGTTGTTGTCATTAAGTAGAGTACAACTCATAGCAACCCTATGAACAATAGACCTGCACCCTGTACCATCCTCACAATCTCTGACACACCTGAGTCTATTGCTGCAATCACTGTGTCAATCCACCTGGTTGCAGGTCTTCCTTTCTTTCACTGACCCTCCACCTTCTCAAGCATGATACCCCTCTCCTAACAACATCCCAAAGTATGTCAGATGAAGCTTTATCATCTTTGTCTCCAAAGAGCATTCTGGCTGCACCTTCTCCAAGATATATCTGATTGGTGAAAAAGAGCTCAGAGAGCCTGGGCAGAGTGGGGGCATGGCAAAGCAGGACCCCTGGAAGGCAGGTGTGACCGTGGCAGGCCTTGTGCCCAGCCCAAGCCTTCCTGTCCCTTGGTCAGCCAGTACTGTCAATGGTAGCTCTGCCCCAGAAAGAGCCAGGACACGGCCTCAAAGCCACACTGATTTGTTTGCTAGGCCCTGCAGTCCATCTTGTCTGGCGCCAGCTGCCTTCTCACAGCCATATTTGGGGTGCTGAGCCGGGCCGCTCAGGCCTCGCCTAACCCTTAGCCCTGGCACTCATTCCAGACCTCAGAGCAGCAGGCCCCTGCCCTCCCAGCTGCAAGAACACTCCCCTGGGAACCTGGAGCAATTCAGAGAATGAGGCCGGAGGGGCCAGTCCCCTCTATTTCAGAGCTTGCCTGTTGGGTGGTACCTTGCTGCCTCCCCGGGTCTCAGGAGCAGTGAACATACACAGACTTCCTTGCACCTGGCTCGTATCTCTTGTTAACCAAGCCCCTGATCATACGCACCTTGCCCAGGTGATACTAGGCACACCCACAATCTCCACCATCCCTGTCCCTTACCCCAGCCCTGCTCCACGGGGGACACACCACCCTTCCCCAGACGCCAAGATGACAGAAGACAAAGATGAGAAATCATTGAGCACCAACTGTTGTTCCCCAACACTTTGTAAACAAGCTTATAGAGCCTACACCCCCTCCCTAAATGAGGTGGGTGGACAGCTGAGGCAGGCACAGTGAACAGCCTATTTGTGAAACAAGACCCCTTGCCTATAATGCCTCTCAATGTGCAGGAACAGACCCCTAGCCTGCAGGCTCTGGGCACGCCTGTGAGTAGAACGCCTCCACTCCTGGGAGCAGCCTGCCCCCTAGCCCATCTTTTCCATCCCCTCTAAGCACCAGGGTCACCCCTGGCCAAGTGGCACCCACAGAGGAAAAAAAGCTGAACCTGATGCTTCAAAGACTGGTTCTGTGCAGAGGTGAGACTGGTCAAGTCCTGCCCGTGCTCACTCTCACCTTGCCCACCTGCCACATCAGAATGGGACGTTGGCCAGGGCTGAGACAGCATCCTTAAAAAAACCCCAACCCTGCCCCGCCCTGAGAATGCTCTCTTGTCAGTTCCCCACCCAACCACATACACTTGCAGTGGCCTGTGACATGGATCCCCAAGGCAGGAGATGGACAAGCACAGCCAAGGAGGGTGCCCGTATAATGCCTCTTCCTGGAGGATGGATGCCAGAAATTAAGGACCTTTGCTGCCCCTCAAGTTCCAGTGCACTGACCTCCGAGAGTAGTGAGCTGGAGGCCCTAGGGTTGCCACCTCTGTCTTGATATTTTTGGACCCCATTGCTCACCTACTGGGACAAGACACATGCCTCCTGCCCCCTGGCCACCCATGCAGCATCTCACCAAGTCCTCCCAGCCCAGGCTTCACCCCATCTTAGAGGAGTCTTCCAGTGCTGCATCCTCCAGGACTGTAGAGCTGGGGCAGGGTAGCCACCCCTGGGCAGCTGGACAGCAGACATCACTCCAATTCCCAGAGGAGGAAAGAGAGCCCAGAGAGGCGAAGGACTGGCCCAAGGTCACACAGTGAGTCAGGCTGGGCGCTGGGCCTACAGCCCAGAGCACCCTCACTCCAGCTTCTGAAAGCAGCCAAACTTCATATTTCCAAAGAACATTTCTTCTAGTTCCTTCTCTCTGCCTCTGTGGCTGGCTAGGAGCCTCTCCTGGCCTGCCCCATGGTCAGTGACCAGCTGGCTTGGTCAGGTCTCCACTTGAGGCACCCAAACCTAGGCCTTGGTCATACTCAAGGAATAGTAGGGGTCCAGATTCCAAAAAGAAATGGGAGGTGTATTTGTGCTACCAATGCAAAAGTATGCAGCTTTAGCCCACTAGCTGCTCAGAGGGAGAAAGAGGGGCAATCTCCTCCCATGCCTCTGAATACATGCTGGAGGGTCAGCTATGAGTCAACCCTGACTCGACGGTACTTACCAATAATAGGTAACAGAAGGGGTGACGAGACCTCTCTGCCTTAGTCAGGTGTGGTCCCTGAGAGGACAGTTACCCAGGGCTATGCTTTGGCTGAATCGCCTGGGACAGGAATGGGTGAGTAAACCGTTAACATGCTATTCTGCTAAGGGTGCAGGCTGTTAGGGATGGAATTCTGTCTGCCCTAAAATGTGTACTGTGGCCCTGAGCAGTGGACAGGATCCAGAACATAACAGGGTTTTTTTGTTATGCTAATGAGGCCCAATCAGTGTAGGGAGTTTTGAACCTGTCACTTCTAAGTGAGGTGAGAAGCACCAGAGAAAGAAAAGCAAGCACACCATGTAACAGATACGGGGTTCGAATCCAACACCTGCTCTGTAGAAGAAAGAAGGGCAATCTCCTCCTGTGGGATTTACAGCCTCTGAAAACCCGTTGGAGGTTCAGCTATGGGTCGGTTCTGACTCCACAGCACACAACAACAGCGGCTAATCCGATGGAGCATTGGAATGAAAAAAATAAAAGAAAAAAAGGTCCAGGAGGTGGCCTCAAGGCGAGGCTCAGCAAGGTCGTCTGCCTCAGTCACACAGCAGTGGGCAGGTGGCCCAGTTAGCCTTCTTGATGCATCTTGGCCCAATTAGCTGTAGGATAGGGCAGTGTCCCTCTACCAGTCAGGGGCTTTCATCAGCCCTGAAATCTGTGAAAGAGCAGAGATAAATATTTACAGAGTCCTACAGCCTGGTGACGCAGCCTGGAGATAAACCATGGGAGCTCTCAGTGCTGTGTGGCTGCTGTGGGCTGACTCCAGAAGTCTACACTGGCCCTACACCAGTGTCCAGGGTCCTAGACAGTTCCCAGTTGCAGAGGGCTCCCCAGGGTCATGTGGCTCAAATCCAGCTTTTTCCAATCTCAGGACAGGCAACCTCATCTGGAGTGATCCCTAACTCTGTCTTAGGATTTGGGAGACCCTCTGAATAAAGGGGAAGATGTTGGGTCTCTCAACAGGCTCACCCCTCATCTGGCTTATTCTGGTGGCCAATGCAGAGCAGGTGTAGTTGAACACAGAGTCCTGGCCAGACCAGTCCCTGGGGCTCATGTCACCATCCCCTGCCCCCATTCCTTCTGCAGCTGGTCAGGCTCTGCTCTGGTCACAGGACCAGGGCCAGACACCTGGTCCATCCTGTCACTCACAACTTCCTCTTCTCCCTCCTTTTCTTACCTGGACTTACGTTCAGCTCACACAATCACGCCTTTTCCTTCGCTTCCTGTTTCTGCCCACCCCCTCGCTTTCAGAGGGTTCTACCCTCAGCCTCGAAGATCCCTGACTCCCTCCAGTTCACACGGTCACCCTCAGGCCCTGTCGCCTAGCTCCCCGGAGCCTCCACATCCCAGGCACACACCAGAAGACCTCTGCGGAGCCTGCTTTGTCCCAGCCATGAATAGGACCCTGAAACCACGCCTTCCACTACCTGCCCCTCAAGAACTCCTGCTTCCCAAGTTTGGAGGGGGGCTTGAGACTGGCATCAAGTCTCTGGCTTCACCAGCCTGGGGTCTGGAACACAACACACGGAGCTTACTTTCCCCAAAGCTCCCGGACACCTCTGCATAGTGCCCCGGGCAGGTTCCCCGCTAGGTAGGTCCCCCAGACCGTCCCGGGCAGGTCCTGCATTCCCCCACCAACTCAAGCAGGTCCCCGCTTCGTCCCGCTCCCCCAGGGCCCCGGCGCCATCCTCCTGCCTCTGCGCCCCCGCGCCATCTCCTCTCCCCCGCCCCCTCCGCAGGTCCCCTGCACTGTCCCCCTAGGCGGTCCTGCGCCGTCCCCCCGGGCACGTGCCCCAGGCTGTTCCCGGGCAGGTCCTACGCCATCCCGCTCCCCCCGGGCGCCCGCTGGGTCAGGCCCCAGCCCCGGGCGAGGACTGCGGCTGGGCGAGCACTC